AGAGATTTGGATGTAGACCCAATCTTTGGGTGTCATTATTCAGTCTATCTCATGAAGGTTGAGGATATTCCCCTCTATTCCTAGTTAGTTGAAGGTGGTTGTTGTTGCTTTTTTAATCATGAATGGATGTTGGATTTTTTTTTTCTGTACCTACTGTAGTGATCATGTGATTTAAGTTTTGAATCTATTAATATGATATATTACATTAATTGATTTTAAGATGTTAAACCAATCTTTCATTCCTGGGGTAAATCCCACTTACATATGTATAATTGTTTTTATATTTTGCTAGATTAGGCTCGCTAAATTTTGCTAAGGATCTTTGTGTCTGTATTCACAAGAGATACTGGTCTGCATTTTTCTTGGCTTGTGGTTTCTTTGTTTAGCTTTGTTTTCATTGTAATACTGACACTATAGAATAAGTTGGAAAATATTCCCTCCTCCATTTTCTGAAAATGTACAGGATTGATATTATTTCTTTAAATGTTTGATAGAATTCGTCAATGAAGCCATCTGTACCTGGACTTTTCCAAACTTTTGTGGGCAGTTTTATTATTAACTCGACCTCTTATTACAGATTTATTCAGCTGCTCTCTTTCTTCTTGAGTCTGCTTTGATAATTTGTATCCTTCTGTGAATTTTTTGGTTCTTTTGAGCTTCCTAATTTGTTAGCCTAAAGTTATTTATAATATTTCTTTATTATCATTTCCATTTCTATCGGGTCAGTAATGATGCCTCCTCTTTAATTTTTGATTTTAGTCATTTTTGACTTCTTATTTTTTTGGTGAGTCTAACTAAGTGTTTGCCATTTTGTTAAAGTTTTCAAAGAACCACCTTTTGGTTACATAGATTTTTCTGTTTTCTGTTGCACTGATTTATTCCCTAATCTTTACTATTTCCTTCTCCTTCCTTTGTGTTTAGTTTGCTCTTTTTCTAGTTTCTAAGTTAGAAGTTCTGATTATAGATTTAAAATTGTTTTCTCTGATAGGTGTTTAAACCTACAGATTTCTCTCTGAGCATTATTTTAGCTGTATCCATACATTGTGGTGTGTTATGTTTTCATTTTCATTTTAGTTCAAAATATTTTATAAATTTCCTTTGTGAGTTATTTGACCTATGGGTTATTTAGAAGTGTATTGTTTAATTTCCAAATATTTGTTTTCCCAGATTTCTTCCAGTAGTGGATCTTTAATGTGATTCCATTGTGATCAGAGAAATAATTTATATGATTTCATACAGACTTTTTACATTTTTTTAGATATACTCCCATCTTTGAGCCCTCACTCTAGTATCAGCATGATAGATTCCATCACTTTCTTTAACTCTTCTTTCAAATGTCACCTCAATGAGAACTACCCAAACCAGCATTAAAATTGCAAACACCACTACTACCACCCCCTTGCACTTACAGTCACCCCTTACATTGCTGTATTTTTCTCTTTTTCGTAGTACTCATAACCTTCGAAGATACAAAAATATTTATTTAGCTCTATGAAAATAGGGATCTTTGTTTGATTTATTGATCTATCCCAAGAACCTAGAATAGTACCTGGATCATAATAGTCACTGAGTAAATATTTTTGAGTATATACATTAGTATATTCATCACTTGGTCATATGTAACTGAACTTTTTCACTTTCATTGGAATGTAGTGTTTCATATATAAATGTACTACAATTTTATACTTGATTCTTCTTAGATGGACATTTATTTTTGCTAGTTTCAGGCTCTTATAAATAACATTGATCTAAACATTGCTGTTGTATCTTGGAGCACATATGCCCAAATTTTTGTAGGGTATGTATGTGGAGGGGAATTGATGGGTCGTATTATAAGCGTATATTCAACATTAGCAGGTAATGTCACAGTGATTTGCACTGTGGCTGTGCATTCCTACCAGTAATGTATGAGGGTTCCATGTGGTCTGCAATTTCACAATATGTGGTATTGGCATTCTTTTTAATTTTTTGCCAGTATCGCAGTTTCTGTTAGTATCTCATTCCCTTCTTAATTACCATTTCCCAGAATTTTAATGTGGTTGAGCACTTTTGCATATATTCATTAACCATGTATATTTCCTCTTTTGTGAGACACCTTTTCAAACTTTTGCCCTTTTTCCCATGTTCTTTATCAGATATTTGTGCAGCAAATATTTTTTCCTATTTTGTGACTTTTCTATCTCTGATATTTTTGATGAACCAAAGTTTAAAATTTTAATGTAGTTGAATTTGTCAATATTTTCCTTAATGGTTAGTGCTTTGGGGGTCTTAAGAAAACCTTCCATAAATATTATTATACATTGCTGGTGGAAATGCTGAGTAATACACTCCTACAGAGTAGAGTTTAGCAATATATATATAAATTACATACACATTTACCCTTCATCTCAGCAGTGCCACTTGTTGGCATCTATTTCAAAGATACACTAGAAAAATTCAAAACCCATATATATAAGCTGTCAGGACATTATTCATAACAGCAAAAAAGACTGGATACACCACCAATGTGCATCAGCAGGAGAGTAGTTGAATAAACTATTACATCCACACTGTAGATTACTATGCAGTTATAAGAAGGAAGGAGAAGAGCTCCACACATAAATATGGAGTTTTCTCTAGGATATACTGTTAAGTACAGGAAAGTAAGTTGTAGAACAGTGTTTATAATAAGTTACCTTTTTTGTAGGAGAGGGGTGTAACTAATGAATTTTATATATGTGTGTGTAAACACACACACAGATACATACATATACATATACATGTGTTGTATACGTGCCTATTTGCTTATATTTTTAATAAAAAACAATGGAACCATAAATCCAAAAGTAATAAAAATTATTATGGGGAAAGAAAAGAATAGGATGAAGGGAACAGAGATGGAAGTGAGATTTCTATGAAGGTACTGTATAACACAGTTTTCACTTCAGACCATAAAATGTTTTACATAATTAAAAAATTTTAATTAAAAAGGGAAAAATTTAATCCCTAATATTCATAAATAATCGGAAGCAAAGTAATCTAACTATAAAGTTGGTAGCATAATCATACAGAGAAAACAGTTATTTAAAATGACTTTAAAACAAATTTGTACATTCTTAATGGAATATATTTTAAGGACAGAAGTAACTGCAAAGAAATATGAACCTGTATTCACTAGTTTTATTATTGATAGTCATAGTAGTACTGTTACTGACATTTTAAAATTCTATGAATTATTGAAGTAAAAAGGTAATAAATAAATTTGTTAATATCATTAACAGTCAATATTTTAAGCATATATATAATAGATATAAGTATAAAATCAAGAAGTTTGAGTACAAACCTTCCTTGTAGTCTTAAATTTGAAGTGGAAATACCAGTATGAACTCACAATTTATTTTTCTCCTAAAAAAAATCCTATTTTGTCCACTGAAAAGGCCTAGAAACAACAATTCACAAGCTATGAACACACCTAGCAACACACTGTGGTTTCTAAATAGTATTTCCCACTAAAAGGAGCCAGGGGTCCTTGGAGGAATATTCTAGGTTTGAGACAGGAAATGTGCAAGATGAGCTTGGGACATACATCTTGCTGTGCCAAACTGGACAGCAATGCAGGAGCCAATTTGAAAGGATTCTTACTAGTCCCAAGTGTGATAATTTGACCACTAAAAAGAATAATGACTACATTTGATTGAACTACATCAAATATATGAAAATACAAGACCTCACAATTATATTAAAAATAATCATTTGCCACATTGTACATTCCTAAGTTACCAACTCATTACTTTCACACTTGGTAATTAATGGGAAAAAAACTGAGCATTTTTCTTGCCTTTTCTGTATGAACTATATATAGTTGATGATGTTAAGTTCATTATAGAATTCCAGATAAGAAATACAAAAGAAACAATAAAATTAGGAGAGGTCCATTTCTCAATTTTCAATAAATGAATAGATCTAGGCAGTGGGCATCAATGAATGCAAAACCCATTAAATAAAAGATGAACAGGAAGATTCTCTAATAGAGGGATCCAAATCACACCACCTGAGTCCACTGATCAATTTCAGCATTGCTTAAAATGTGACCACCAAACATTATGTACCTTATGACATGATGTAATAAGAAGTACACATCTATGGAGGTTTCTTGCTTTAAGTATTCAACCTGAATCTAATCAAACCTAGTTTAGCACTATCAAGTACAACTTTCTGCAACGATGTAAGTGGCCTTTATCTAATCTGCCCAATATGGTATCTACTAGCCACATGTAGCTATTGAGCATTTGAAGTGTAATGAGTTTCACTGAGAAACTAACATTTAAAAAATTAATTTTTGTGGTCAGTGGCTACTGTATTTCATAGCATAGTTCTAGATTTAACTACCAGTTTTTAAGAAATAGAGGAGATTGAGGAATAAGTTAAATAATACCATGAGGGACAATCACTCTGATTCATTTGTTCTGTGAACAAATAATCTGGTTCTCTAATAAATTAGTGGAATGGAGTGGGGAGGGATGGACTAGAGGGGTGGTAAAAGGAGCACTGTTTTAAAATAAAAGAGGCGTGAGAGATATAATGGCCAAAGGCTGGTTTAGATCCTGAATTGAGCAACTAAGTGTAAGAAAATATCTTTGAGATAATCAGGGCTATTTGAATATGAGCTCAGTAGTTGATACGAAGGATTTATTATTAATTTTGTGCAGTGTGATAATGCTGTACTGGTTACATTTTTCAAATGCCCTTATCAGTTAGGTGCATGTACTTGCATGACCCTGAGAGTAAGTACCTCCTTAAATTCTGCACCCTGGGTACCTCACTTGCCTCACTGTAGTTCCAGCCTTGCTTGAAATGCACTGTAATAAAATAGCTATATATTATTGTCATTGTCACAGGTTATAAACATGTACCCCAGCAAGATTTCTATATCTGAGATCCAAGATTTATTTTGTATTTATTTGTTAAAGGTTGTCTTGGTAGGCTTTGTAGAACTTCCCTATCTCTTTGTCTTGATCCAGATGAACCCCAAAAGAAGAACAAAGGTGATCCCATGAACAACCTGGAAAGTTTTTACCAAGAGATGATAATGAAAAAACGTCTTGAAGAGTTCCAACTTATGAGAGGTGAACCCTTTGCTTCCCACTCACTGGTCTCAGCTACATCAGTGGGAGATAGTGGCACAGCTGAGAACCCATCATTACTCCAGGACGAGGGAAAACAGGCAGCACAGGGTAAAGGTCCCAGTCTCCATGTGGCAAAAGTTATTGATAATTCACCTGAGCGGTGTTGGACTGGGCCTAAGAAGCTGACGCAGCCAATAGAATTTGTCCCAGAAGATGAGATCCAGAGAAATCGTTTGTCAGAGGAAGAGATCCGAAAAATTCCTATGTTTTCTTCATATAATCCAGGGGAGCCAAACAAGGTATAGGCCAAACCAAGAAAAAAACCATGAGTTCTTTTCATTTTTATTTACTTCTACTTATTTACTTCTACCTAAATTAATACTTTTAAATTAGCTTCAATTATACCAAAGAATCATGACATAGGCACAGTGTCTTTTTCCTTGACCTTGACTATTCATTCTCTGCCTACTATGTAAGCACATTTCCTGTGATGTTTTCTAAGATCCTAAGCTACCCTTAGAATTTTAAAGAAATCTTGAGACTCTAGTCCATACCCACTAGAAGCCCTGAATTGAAAGTATGTTCCACTTTCCTAGGCTGGTAATAAATCAAGTATCATTCATAAGACCACCATATCTGGTAGGCATGGTGCTTCCAGAAGTGGTCAATAAGTCATTGACTACATTGTTGTGAGTAGGGTTTACTGTTATCACATGAGTTTTCTCTTCAGAATGCTCCTCCTGGCTTTCATATAACATACGATTTAAGTTGCTGGTAGCTAAGCAGCGGCATGAAAGCACAGGGCCTGTAAGATTTGAGGAATCAGCAAATACCTAGGTGGACTTGTAAATAATGCTTGTTTTACTGATCAGATCAGACCATATTCATGGTATATGTTATATCCAGAATGGAAACTTCATCATCATGTCACCCAAAGAGGCAACACAAGCCCCTAGAGCATATATTTGGTGGTGGTTAATTTATAAAACAAAACCAAAAAAGATAATGTTAGCTTCTGGCTGTCCCTGAATTTTTTAAAAAAGCATAGTGGATGAGGGATATTAAAGCAGTTTCCTCTCAGTAATTACATTTCTAATATATTCTTGCTGTTTGTTCAAGGGCAGCTCAATTTTCATTTTTTATTATGAAATATTACTAATGTAAAAAAAGTTGTAGTAATAGAGCAATCGCCTTTGTACCCAGCCAGCCATCTTTATCACTTCTTAATAGTTTCCATATTTGCTTAATTTAAAAGATAATAAAGCCTTATAGAGACACCTGAAGACTGCCATGGATCTCTTGCCAATCTCAATTCCCCTTTCTCATTTCCAGAGGTAACCACTATCCAGTGCTGAATTTGCTATTTATCATTCCCATGCATGTTTTTATAGTTTTACTACATATCTCTATATTCATAAATAAGATAATTTTACATATTTCAAAACTATAGGTATATTCTGCATGATATCTTCTACAACTTGCTTTTTTGACTCAATATACATAATGTTTTGAAATTTATTTCTAATGACATAAAAAACTATGTAATATTTCATTATAGAAATATACTATAATTCATTTATCCATTCTCCTGAAGATTTTTGTCTTTAAAGTTTTGCCGTTAGAGACAATTCTATAACAAACATGTTTGTACATGTCTCCTATTGCACATGTACAAGAGTTTCTCTAGGACAGTTTTTCAAACTTTAGGTTAATTAGTAGGTTGTAATTGGCTGTTTTTTTAATGAAATGAAATAGGATAGAAAATATCAAAGTGCGTTCTATAGAGTAAGAGTAATTGTTTCTTGAAGCTTTTGTATTGCATGTGCCCATGTGTATATGTGATGTGTGTATAAGCCAGAATGTAAAATGTATCTCTTCCTATAGATATCAGTCAAAAAATTTGGAAAAATATTCCTGTATTGCAGTGAATCACCTGGAAGGCTTGTTAAAGTGCAGATTGCTGGGCTCCATCCCCCAGATTTTTTATTCCAAAAATCTGGAGTAAGACCTGAGAATCTGCATTTCCAACAAGTTCCAGGAGTATTGATGCCGCTGCTGATGACAATGACATTTTAAACATCACTGTTCTAGACTACATATCTAGGAGTGGAATCACTGTGATATAGGGTGTCTATCTTCAACTCCATGAGCAGATTTTCAGAGATCTCTTTCACATCCTTGCCAAGAGTTGTAGTATCACACGTTTTATTTTTGCCAGTCTTCAATGTTTAAAAGATATCTCAATATTTTAATTTGCATGTTCCTGATTTCCAGTGAAGTTACAAATATATTCATACGTTTATTAGCCCTTCAGAAATCTTCTGTGAGTTGCCTCTTCCATTTATTTGTCCATTATTTGATTGCTTAGTTTTTCACATTATTTATAGAGATCATTTTAAAATTCTAGATACAGACCCTTGGTGCTTATTTAGCAAATATTTTCTTCCAGTGGGTGGCTATTCTTTTAGGCATGATTTCTGATGTCTTTTTGTTAAGCAGAAGTCTTTTCATTTTAATGGAATGAAGTCATCAGTATTTTACTTGATGGTTTGTATTTTTGGAGTAAATTTAAGAAAATCCTTCCCTGCAAATCATTAAGAAAAACGCACAACCCAATAAAATGGCCAGAAGGTAAGAATAATTTACCTTAATTGTTCACAGAGGAAAAATGAATGGCCAAATTAACTTAGGAAATCTTGTTAGTAATCAAAGAAATGCAAAATAAAACTAGAGGGAGACATTTAACACCTGGAAAGTTGGCATAGATTTAAAGGCTTGACAATGCCAAGTGTTGACAAACATATGGAACAGTAAGGACTCTAATATAGTGCTGGGTGAATATAAATGAGTACAAACACTTTCAAGAACATTGTGGCAATATCTAGTAAAATGAAAGATACTCATACCCTATAAATCAGAATTTTTTTTTAAACTTTCTCTAGAGAGAAGGAAAATGATATAGGTCAGAAAATCAGATTTCTATAATGAAAAGAAGAGCATAGGAGAAAGGTTATCTGAAGGTAAAATAAAATCTTTTATTATTTTTAAGTGATCTAAAGGTAAGTGTTCAAAGTAATAACAGCGTGGCTGGTAATTATAGCATATGGATAAATGAAATGAATGGCAGTTATAACGGATAGGACAGAGGAATTAGTAGTTTGTATTGTAACTGTTATAAGGTGTCTGCACAACCTGTGAAGTGGTATCATGTTATTTGAGGGTAGAATTAGATTAGTTGTAATTATAGGCAGACTCTAAGAGAACTTCTTAAAAAATTTATAACAAAGTGTAACTGGTATGGTAAAGGGGGGTGAAAATGGAGTCATATAAAATGATACCCATTCTCTATAATCTTTTCCAAAAAATAGAAGCAGAGGGGATACTTTCTATTTAATTTTATGAGACTGGCATTACCTTAATACCAAAACCAGATAAAGATATTATGATGAAGACTACAGACCAATATCTCTCATGAGCATTGATGCAAAGTATCATAAATATTAGAAAAGTAAAAACATGAGAAAATAAATCCAACAGTGTAGCAAAAGAATTATATACCATAATCAAGTGGGATTTATTAAAGGTTTCTAAGGCTGTTTCAACATTTAGAAATCAATGTAATCCACTACATCAACAGACTAAAGAGGAAAAATCATATCACGATCTCAATTGATGTAGAAAATGCATTTGACAGAATCTGAAACCATTCATGACAAAAAATCTCAGCAAACTAGGAATACAGGGGGACATCTTCAATTTGACAAAGAATATCTAGAAAACCCTACTCTCCCAACCCAATGGACCCAAGGAGGAAAACACCCAGACATAATGAGTAAAATGGCAAAGATAAAAAAAGGAGAGTATTAAAAGCATCAAGAGAGAGAAAAAAGATCACCTACAAAGGAAAACCCATCAGGCTATCACCAGACTTCTCAACAGAAACCTTTACAGGCCAGAAGGGAGTGGCATGATATAGTCAATGCAATGAAACAGAAGGGCCTCGAACCAAGAATACTCTACCCAGAAAGATTATCATTTAAATTTGAAGGAGGGATTAAACAATTCCCAGATAAGCAAAAATTGAGGGAATTGACCTACAACAAGCCATCTCTACAGTGTATTTTAAAGGGACTGCTCTAAATAGAAGTGTGCCTAAGACTAAATAGCTGTTACAGGAGAAAATAAAACCACAGCTAAGGAAGTAGACGAACTAAATACTAACCAAATGCAAAATTAAATCAGCTACCCACAAAGTAAGTCAAGGCATACACAGAGTACAGAATATGACATCTAATATATAGTGGAGTAGGAACAAAGGGAAAGAAAAAAGAATCATAAGACTGTGTTTATAATAGCTTAATAAGTGAGTTAAGGTAGACTGATAGATAGTAAACTAGCTACCCTTGAACCTTTGGTAACTACAAATCCAAAGCCTACAATGGCAATAAGTACATATCTATAAATAATCACCCTAAATGTAAATGGATTGCATGCACCAATCAAAAGACATGGATAAAAAAGCAAGACCCATGTATATGCTACTTACAAGAGACACATTTCAAACCCAAATACATACACAGGCTATAGTGGAGGGATAGAAAAAGATATTTCATGCAAACAATGGGGAGAAAAAAGCAGGTGTTGCAGTACTTGTATCAGACAAAATAGACTTCAAAACGAAGAAAGTAACAAGAGACAAAGAAGGACATTACATAATGATAAACGGGTCAGTCCAATAAGAGGATATAGCCATTGTAAACATCTATGCACCCAGCACAGGAGCACCTACATACACAAAACAAATACTAACAGAATTGAAGGGGGAAATAGGATGCAATGCATTCACTTTAGGAGACTTCAGCCCACCACTCACTCCAAAGGACAGATCAACCAGACAGAAAATATGTAAGGAGACAGAGGCACTGAACAACACATTAGAATAGATGGACCTAATAGACATCTACAGAACTCTACACCCAAAAGGAGCAGGATACACATTCTTCTCAAGTGCACATGGAACATTTTCCAGAATAGACCACATACTAGGCCACAAAAAGAACCTCAGTAAATTCAGAAAGATTGAAATTCTACCAACCAGTTTCTCAGACAACAAAGGTATGAAACTAGAAATAAATTACGCAAAGAAAATGAAAAATCCCACAAACACATGGAGGCTTCACAACATGCTCCTAAATAACCAATGGATCAATGACCAAATAAAAACAGACATCAAGCAATATATGGAGACAAATGACAGCAATAATCCAACACCACAAAATCTGTGGAATGCAATGAAGGC